AGAGACGGTCATTTATTTGCGGAATTTGTGAAAATACTACGGTTTTTTTTTTTCATCAAAAAATACGTTGGCCTTATAGAAATTTTCGTAAATTAGCAGAGAAATCGTGAACTTGATAAAAATTTGTAAGTTTGTTAGGTAAGGATCTACAATTATTAGAAAAATATGCAATAATGATCATAACAAAATTCGAGAGTAAGTACACAGTAAAAAATTTTACGTCATTGCGTCAAAAAACTTAGTGTTGAAAATTTTTGTGTTAAATATTTAACACTTTTATGTGTAAATTTAGCACTTATTCTGTTAAATCAACACAAAGAAGTGTTAAATATTTAACATAAATTTTTAAGACAAAATTTTTTGACGCAATGACGCAAAATTTTTTACTATGTATTGCGGCTAATATTACGAATTATTCGCACATAGACACACATACGCGCGTGGGTACATAGTCGGAGAACCTTCCTAGGACCTCAAAACGTAGAGATTTAATAAAAACTTGACTTCTCAAAATCAAAAACTAAATCAATAACTTCTTACTTTTGAAATTTATTAATTCTCAAAGCGGGAAATTAATTATGACATTACATGTCATAAGAATTTACTGATGCGGTTACAGAAAACTTTTAAAGTAAAATAATTCATATTTTCCTGGATAGAAAAATAACATACATATTTTCTGAATAATGAGTTTCATTTTATGTAATCGATACTTAAGATTGATCAGAATTTCGTCAAATCCCAAAACGTCAAAATTTGATAAAAATTATTTTATATTTTAATTCAATTTGGTATTTTGAATTTTCAATTTTATATTTTGATTCAATTATAAATCATATTGAATCCACTAATATACTTTTATACAAAAATTTTTATAAAAAATCTAATTTTATCACTTACAATAATACTACGATAACCGCAACATTCATAGCTTTATTTATTATAGTACTTTCCTTATTCAGAGATAATTACACTTATGAACATTCAAAGAAATTAACTACAATAACTAGTGCGTAGAAAGATAAACAGTTATTATCTTCATATCTGTTGATTTATCAGTTTTAAAAGCGATGTAATAAACATTATTTCGAAATTATTGCTGTATTTTTAATGCCAGTGTCTATAAATATCAAAATCAATAAATTACAATTAATTTTAAATTAATACTTCCTAATTATCATAACAAAAATTTACAAAATACAATTGAATAGCCTATAAATAATTTTATTCAATTATAAAAATAATGGAAAATTGAAACAGTTTGAATGTGTATAATATTTTTTTTTTATGAGCCATAAAATTGTAATTTATTAATAAAAATTATAAATTCGTTTCATTTTCTATGATTCGTGAGTTACGGCAATATCATGCGCGTGAAGAACTGTATACCGATTAATTATTTGTAATGATTATACGTTTTTTTTTCTTTTCGAATAATTACAATTTAGAATGTAGATTTTTCCACCTACTGCCCTGATAGTATGATTCAAGTAAACAGCTGCTAAATTCTCAAATATTTTTATTAGGTATTTGTTATTATATATGTGATAAATATTTATTCATTGACATGAAATTTAATGAAAGTATTGAAGTATTTTTTATTCTCTATCTTATAATACAAAATTGATGATAGAGTAAAGTTAGCTTAGTATCGAAATTGTATCAATACTAACCGAAAAAGTGGCCCCTGATTCCTTATAGGTTCTATTCAGAATTAGAGCGCAATTTGACTTTCTAGCTTTATTTAAAATTACTTTTAACCGTCAGGGTCATTGTCGGCTATGGCGAATATGAGACGTGGAGAGTTGGAGACAGGAGATTTTTGTGGTCGATGGTTAGCAGACCCTCACAGAATTAAAAACCAAGGTTATAAAATGCTGCGGAATGATATAGTTTCATGAAATTATTGTATTGATAATTTAATTTTTACAAAATTTAATCAAATAAAGAAAAAATAAATTTTTTTTACGTAACTTTGGTTGGTTCCATAATTTTTTCTTGAGCTTTTAAGAACTTGTTCTTGAAGGGTTCTAATTTAAAATTTTATAATTTATAATTTGTTCCCTAAAACAATGATAACTTTTACTGATTAAAATAATTTTTAGATTTTATTTTTAATTACAAAATACCAAATTTATTCTTGTTCTTCTTCTGGTGAAAGTAAGCAATTTGGTCAACTTTTTAAGCTGATTATAAATTGAGTTAATTGACAACAGCTTGTTATGAGCAATTATTTACTGTGAAAGATTAGAAGATCGGGTAGTTATATATTAGTGTAAGCAATCCAAAATTATGTATAAGATCTAATAATGTACATGACGAGAAATGATTTATGAAACATGTGTGTTCAGAAATTTTTATAATTTTTATACTCATTTTACGTCGATTTTATTGTTTATATCAATAATAATAACGATAACAATTATAATAATAATTCCATTAAAAAAAAAATTAAGTTAATTCCAGTCCACCTACTTATACAAATTTTTACCACCTAAAAATGCCATTGAATAATTTAACACGTTATCTGAAGAATCAGATAGAAATCGAAAGTTTTTAAGTTTTACTTTCAATTTACCAGCTTTCGAAATGTCAACAATTTGATTTAAAATGTAAAATCTTTGCATTATTATTTTCTCACCTCAACTTTTTGTTGACAATTAACTTTCTATAAATTTTTGACTAAAATTAGCTAAGAGTTATTGAGAAATAAATATTACGATTATTATTGAGGTTTGAGAAATTTTGATTATATAAAGATACACAGCAAAAAATTTTGTATAAAATCAACACAATTTCTGTGTTAAATACGGTCGACACAAAATTTGTGTTGAAATTTAACACACTTTATGTTATTTTAACACAAAAAATTTTTAACACAAATACACAATATTTTTTGCTATGTAAAAAATGTTGGTTCTTTGATTTTTATCAAGAATTCTTTATAACTTCTTGCCTGAACACAACAAATCAATTGTAAATTTAACTAATAGTATATTACATACCTAGGCCAGTAAAATAAGAAAAGTCTCAGACCACATGTAATTGCTGGCCGAGGCGAAGCCGAGGTTGACAAACATGTGGTCTGAGGCTTTACTTTTTACTGGCCAAGGTGTGTATACTATTTTTCTGCTCGACGTAGCCGGAACGTGGCAACTTTGTTTAGCGCAGCGGCCAGAAAGTTGCCACTTTCCGGCCGGAGGGCAGAAAATATTTTTTCTTGCTCTCCTAGCCGAAAGTACGCTCATCCTGGACGCACTTTACTCCAGGAAGAGCAACATTTATGGCCGGCTCTCTACGCATGCGCGCTACGCATATTTTCTGGCTGGCAGCACAGAGCCTCGCTTTCTTTCGTACTTTCGTGGTGCGACCGGCCTATACAGCGAGTTTCGACTGTATATAACAGTCACAACATCGTCTGTATGTAACATGTCAACACATAAACTAACCAAAAAGTGTCAAATAAATAAAAATAATTTCTTACTTATTATTGTTAATGAACTATTTAATAATATAATACTGCACAAATAATTTATATAAAAATTTTAGAAAATAAAATATAAAAGTTTTGTAGATTTTATTTGCTTTCTTTTATATTTTGACAGCTATAGTAAAGCGATTTGTTTATAAAACAATCCATGTACTCTACAAGCTTCTAATAATTAAATTTCAATCTTTCTTAGCCGTCTAATTAAAAACTAATTTTTAATCAACTTAAAAAAATTAATTCTGTTATTAAATCGAGTTTAAATATTTGTGGCAACTTCTGTGCATGTTATCTCTCTTAATCAGAGCGTTTGTTAGTAAACTTTAAAATAACTTATTTTTTTTTATTTATTAATTTTTACTTTTTTATTATGCCCGCCCTGACCAGTAAAACCTCGGCTTCGCCTCGGTTTTGCAAAACCCCTTCCCCGGGGTTGCGTACTTTCGGCTGGAGAGCAAGAAAAATAGTATACAACCCATGACCAGAATGTTGGATGCCCTGACGTATGTGATATGATAGCCTCGGCTACGCCTCGGCCATCATATCACATACGCCAGGAAATCCAACTTTCTGGCCTTGGGTCGTAATATACTATTAGAAATGTTGACATTTTTAATTAATATTGATCTAAATTTTTATTCATTTCATATTCAAAACTCTTTAAAATTAGTCGAAATATTTCAAGTGTAATAAATGTGTAGTAGTTTTATAAAAAGAATATCAGGAACGAAAATTTGAGTACCTGTCATAATTCTCATTATATATATAATTCATACTGAATTTCAGAAGATTTTTATTAATTACAGTTCCTTATAGCAATCGCACAAGCGTAACATCTTCTCGAAAAATCCCACAATCATTAATGATTTTTCTTTACATGGCTAGTTAAGGCTATTAATTACTTTGCAGTAAATTATAATAAACAATTAAATTATAGTGTCGGGATATTATTTTATTAAAAAACTTTACGTGATTACTCTGCTTATATTAACGTTTTATAAATATTTTATTAAGATACTGAGTATTGCTTCCGTTTGCTAGAAAACACCGATTAACATAATAGATAATAGACTGTGAGCATCGCAGAGTTTCACTCGACAACTGTACAGTAGAAATTGAAAGACCGATAGTTAGAAAATAAGACTCCGATGTTGTAAATAATTTCATGTATCTTATTCGTTTTTTATTTTAACAATTGAATTATTTCTCATCTTTTGTCTTCATAATTGCTTGAAATGTTAATTATATAACATCGTAAATTGATCTTAATCAGTTCTAATAAGTTTAAAGTCATTTATGCAAGATTGAAGAGATAAAATCAATCATTTATGAGAAATTCACTCATACTAATTTAATAAAATGACTTAACTTTAACGATAAGTTATTTGGTCTAGAGAATTACGGTCACTTGAAAATTTCTTTTCTCGTAATCAGAATTTCACTCCACTGACTTGCGTGTTAACAATATAAATTTCCATTATTGTTCTCGTTTATCGTTAAATTCTCAATTATAATGACTATAATGTTTCACTTTAGGATATGCTGCGCCATTGCCGCTGTATTGGGCAATAAAAATGTCAATTTGGAAAATGGAAGTTATGACAATCATGAAAAACACCCCAGAGTCAATGATTTTGCTCAAAAAATTCAGAAAACAGGACCTAAAGTTCAGGAAATTGGGGTTGTGAATCAAGACTTGGATCCTAATCACTCCTATAACGATGATAATGACAATGAACAGTTGAATTTGAGTCCAAAAAGACAAGCACGAGTGGAGTTGGAAAACTTCAGTAATACTGGAGTGATTCAAGAGGATGCGAAAAAAAAAATTGATACTTTCAAAAATAAAAATGAAAAAACGGATCTCAATATTGAAGGAGTTCAAGTAAGGTGAGTATTTAATTTTATTTTTTTTATCAAAAAAAGAAAAAAAAAAGTTTGGAAAATATAAAAGTGCACGCCTCATAATTTCATTTTTCACAATAAAATTGATTAATAAAAAAAATAAAAGATAAAAAGCAAAATAATAAAAAACAGAAAACTGCTATGGTTTAGTGGCGCCATAACTCTAAGGTGAGGAAAAAAAATACTCTAATAAAATGTATAGATAGATATACAAAAAATTGTTATTGAAATATATTTTATGTGCCTGAAGAATTATTTGACTTGATATAAGTGTACTCATATTAACCTGTAAGTGCGATATAAATAACAAAAATCAATTTCAGTTTCGAGAAAACTGCTTTTTTTGAAATGTCGAGAGTAGAGCACAATCTTAACGCTTCACTTATGAGGCGTGCAATAAATTGATTGAACGATAACAAAAAATTAAACTTTTCAGTTCTGAATATCCAACAACAATGAGGCCAATTTTAACTACCGAACGTTCATATTCCCAGTCTTCGTATGATTTCGTTCCAGTTAACTTAATTCCAAAAGATTACAAAGAATCGTGGTCTCCATACTCAAATCGTAACTTTGATTATCTCAGTGACGTTAGTTTGGTCCCAGCTGGTTCAAATTCTCGAATTCAGGTAAAGTAATTTAATGAGATTTAAAATATTAATTTATTGTGAAGATGATGCTTAGTTTAATTTCATTTTTGAAAGTTATTATAACTTAACGAATGAAGAAAAACAACTAGAAACAATTAATTATTTTCATAAAATAACCGTGTATTGTGATAATTAACGCACGAATGATCTTACACACGCACAACCTAGCTTACAATATGGCATTGCAAATTCATAACTGCACTATTATCTGTAGAAGGTTAAAATCTCCTATTTCTCAATAACTTTTACTTTACAACTTACAACTATTAATAGATAAAAATTATAGCATACTCAATCTGCCATTTGAATTCTAATTGCGTTGAACTTATCTGTCATTTGAACTTCAAAGAATGTTTTACCTTGAATTTTTTCTCCTGTTTTTCCTTTGTAGAACGGAAAATTTTATTTAATATAATTTATCATGACTATCTCCGAGTTGATGTTTTTAAGTTTATTTTTCTAAGAATTAAATTGTGAAAATTTGTTGAAGAATAATTTTAACTGTAAGAAAATAATTTATTAAATTATTTTATTTACTAAAATTAGATCAACGCACGTATGTTAAAATGAAAATTTAAACAATTAAAATAATAACTTCTCTTATTAGGTAAGATTATTATTTCAATTATATGACATTAAATGACATTCACTTTCTATGCGCTGTGAAAAAAGCGTAGCTAGAATTATTACAATTTAAAGTTGAACCGAGTTTATTTCACATACCAGGTGTTAACTGGGAAGGAACTCTACGGCTCATTGGGAATGCATTGTTATTCTGTTGATTTATTAAACTGATGACAAGTTTATGCATCACTTGTTAATAATTTAATGAAACATGTTTTCCACTATGATAGACATATTATGGAAGTCCATTTATTAAATCACAATATTTTCTTAGTTTAATTGAATACCCACATGGAATTTGAAATAGATTTCTTTTTCTGTTAGCTACCAAATTATCAATGAAATTAAATTGTTAATATTTTCTTGAAAATTGTTTAAATATTTTTGCATATTTCAACTGGAATTATAATTAACAAATTTTGAATAATATATTGTCATTTATTTCTGAAAAGAAAAATTATTTTCAAAAGCTTTATTTTTCTAATGTAAAAAAATTTTGTTTCAAGATTTCTATATTTTAAAATTCAGAACTGTAGAGTTATTTCTAAGAGAAAAAAAATTTTACTTAGTAATGAATAAAAATAGTCAATATTATTTAATTTTAGCAATTATTTATGTTCTTTGTTAAATTTTTGTATACACCGAAAAAAAGTATAATAGGTCTCAATTTCCTTAAAATTTGTAATTTAATTTTTTTTCGGAAATAGACCCTGAATTTTATTTTGTTGTCTTTCCATATTACTGCCTTTCGATTTTTTCGACACTTAATTATTAAGCATAGCAACATTTTTTTCTATATTAATTTTTTTCTATGTTCCACTGATTAAAAAAAATAAATGTATTATTTTATCCTTATTTTTAGATAAAGAAAGGTCCTAATGGAAAGGATTACGAATATGAATACGTATATTATTATTATGACGAAGAAGATGAATCATCAAAAGGAAGCGCTTCTAATAATAAACAGGAAAGTATTAGAACACCACCGCCATCAAGACGTGGAAGTAGTAATAATAATAGAAGCAAATATAGTTCAGTTGAACGAACGTCGACAGCAGAACCAGTTGGTAATGAGATCATTCCTAAAAATGGTAATCGAGGAAGAAACCTCGCCGAGAATGAAGAAATCTCTGAAGAACGATTACCCACAAATACGCGATTTCCCCCGAGGTAATGATTTATTAAAATAATATATACAAATCACTTAATCTTGTTGATTATAAAAATATTTGAATCCATTTTGAACCTAGGTCTAGATCTAATCACAATACGGGAACAACAGAGACCACTCGCAGCCGCGGAAACCGTCCAAGACCAAACTTAGACCTTGTAGATTCAAGCAGCTTCAGAACTCATCAAGAAGGTCCAGAATTCCCTCAATCGTTACCAAAAGGACCTGTAAGGTTTTTGGGTGTTACTCCAAATGAAAACAACGAAGCCAAATATGTTCCGACGCGGGAAAATTTTCAAAAAGTATATGAACCAGCTCCCGTCGTTGAATCCATCAATGACACGCCATCTCACAGACGAAGGCCTGCCAGTGAACCAGCGGTAATTATCACTTCTTGATTCTCAAAATAAAAATATGTTTTATGTTAAAAGCCTAATATTTAATCATAATAAAATCTCAATTAATAGCTTGAAGCAGTATATAACAGTGAAAAACTCTCTCGACCACTTTCAAAAAGTGTTGAAGAGAAATCAGAATCATCATCATTGCCAGCTCCCAAAGATGAGAGATATAGTTACATTAACGGCCGATACAACTCGGAGCCACCATCAGAAACTACGACAACTGATGCTACAACAACAATGTATCCAACTGCAATGGACAAAGTGGCCCTCGATCTGTATGCGTTCCTTCAACAAGGTCAAAGCAACGCGATCGATGCTGCCACGGAAGACGCCAGCGAAAGCACTACCGTCATTGATGGAGAACTTACTACAGATTCACCTACCACCACGGAAAATTTTAATCCACCCACAACAACTGAAGTAGTAACTTCTACAACTACTGAAGCTACAACTACAACAACAACAACAACTACAACAACGACTACCACAACACCTGTACCTACAACAGAAGCTACGACAACAACGACTCAAGCACCAGCCGGAAAAGGAAAATTCAGAAGACCTGGCATTCTCGGGAGCTCGGGAACTAGAAATCGGTAATTATTTGAGTTTAGACTGATCGAAAAGCTATTTTGATTGAAAAGAATCAATTGGCTTCAGAAACCAATATCTTCAATCGAAAACTATTGGAACTTGAATTAAGAGTATATTGTCTTGAATCAATATACCAAATTCTTCTTTAAATAATAACTTAAAATTTGAATAGCCTTGTAATGTATGTAATAATACTAATTAATTGTTGCTCTTATAGTACGATACCTCACCCATATTCAAAGACATTTCAAGCCTTTATTTTAACCAATTTTGAATCGTGGCCCGTTTTTTGCAAGTTTTGACCAATGACTAACTCCAACTCTTTTATGTATTTTTATTCAGAGGATTTTTTTCAACTATACTGAGAAAAAAAATACTACTCTTGAAAAAATTTTCTTGTCTCAAAAATTGATCGAATTATTTTTTGTTTAATTCTAGTGAACCTATTCGTTTGTTAATCTATCAAAATTAATGCCAACATTTTATTATCATGATAGATATTGATATTCTTTTGTCAAAAAACCAAAATATATTTTAAACGATTCTTAAGTCAAGAAATTTTTTTCTGGACAAAAAAAATTTTTTTTTCTCAGTGTAACATTAACTTTGTTTTCTTTTAAGAACTTTATATTTTTTATTCAAAAACTAGTTTCATCATTTAAACTAGTAAACACAACTTTATTCAAACGAAATTTTTACTAAAACATATTCTAAAACGTATATGGGAATTTTTCTTTGGTGAAATAAAAGAAGCAAAAATCGGATATTTTTTAGTTTTAACGGTGTTTTTGAAACGAATTGATAGTATATTATATTGAACCAATATTTCCGTGTACCTGAATTCAAGAAAAATAAATTCTAGAATTAAGCATATGATCTTGCTTGAAAACAGTAAAGTTCTTCGTTGAAAAGTAAAATTATTAGATGTAGAACTTCTGCTCTTCATCGAACAGTTTTAATTTATTAATTGAAGCGTTAATTTTTTTAATAAAAAAAGCTGAATACTTTGAACTAAGAGTGAAATTTTTAAGAAAATATTTTTCTTGAATCGAGTAGTTTTTTTCTTAGTGTATTCCTTTCACTAAATATGTTTTTTGTAAAACTTATCTAATGAAAAATATTTTTGACAGAAGCAAGAGCAATGGAGTTAGTAGTACACCGGCAACTGAGCCTTCTCTTGCAGAAACAACCCAAAAAACTCGAGGCCGCTTTGGATCCGCAAATGGAGGAAGTAAAAGACCTAAGTCAGGTTCTAAGCAACAAGAAGAGAAAATTCAAAAAGACAACATCAATGCTGTAAATTCTGAAAAGGCACCACCTGGCCGTAACAGATTCCGCAGCACCGTTTCCAAACCTACTGCCTCTACGACATCCAGCCCCGTAACTACTTCGAGCTCGAGTGGTATTCCATCAGGTGTATCGCGTCCTTCCTTTAATAAAATAAACCTAAATCGTCGCCGTAGTAGACCAACCACTCCAACGTCTACGACAAACGAAGAAACTAAGAACAACTCTGAATCTCCGGCACCTGATGATACTCAAGAGTCAACCACACCTACAACAAAAGCGCCTGTGCGTCAAAAATTCCCAGGTCTTAGTAACAGACCAGGAGGGTCTGCTCCTAGAGTTAATCTTAGACGGCCTGGACGACCCACTACCACTACAACAACAGAAGAACCTAAGGCTATTGTTGAAGAACCTGCTGGCGAAGGAACTGAAGAAGAAACACAAGAGGTATTTATTTTGTACAAATTTTTCTTCGCTATCTTTCACAAAAATCTAGAGTACAGTGAAACTTTGATTTGAATTAATTTACTCGATTTTACTTTAGTTATAAATAAAAAGTGACTTTCGTGATGTAAAATTAATAAATTAGTATTGAATATTGACCGTGTGTTAAATGTCCTACTAATAACATTTTTTCTTAGTTTTATTGAGGATTAAGCACTAATATAGTAACAAAAATTAAAGAACAGAATAAAACACAATATTTTATGAAACTTACAGTTGTAAAAAAATTAACTTGATTGAAAAGAAGAAATTGTGAACCACCATAGTAATTTTGGAAAATATTGTTATCTTGAATCAAACAGGAAAATTATTGAACCAGAAATTTTATTTGTTTGGATAAATTTTACTTGGTTCAAGAAACTTTGCTGTTTAATTCAAAGCAAAGCATTTCTTCAAAATAATTTTCTTGATTCAAGATTTTTTCTCTTAACCAATTTCATTTTTTTATCATTATAGGATAATTGACAATTGCTTGAAACTACAAGATAATTTTCATTAAAAAATGATTATCGTGCAAATACTTTTCAATTATAAATCCACAATAATTAAAAATTTCTTTGTCACTTTCTCATGTATCTTACACTATCTTTAATAACCAAGTTATCACATTGCTATTATCATTTATCAGTTTTTGTATTTTTAAGGTGACGTGTACTAGTCTCAAATATACTCAAGTTTATATATAATAATAATAATAATAAATATTTCCAGACTCCTGCAGAAACCAGTCCACTTGCTCGTCTCACCACGGCCAATCCATTAAATAAATTGCGTTCAAAAAATCGACTCCAAGTACAACCAAAATCAACCACTCGTGCTCCAATAAATTCACCAAGACGATCTCCCCTTCTTCCCCGTCGTAAAATAACAGAAGCACCGATTGTTGAAACCAGCCAAGAAAACTTGATATTAACGAATAGCAGTGAACCAGCTATTGTTGATGCGGAAGTGACTGAACCGGTATTGATTGAAACTAGTACAGCGGCTAGCACAAAGCACGAAGAAACGAGAAGTTTTAATGGACTACTGGCACCACGACGTAGGCTAACACCTCGACGACCTGGCCAAATACTAAGTCGTGAATAAACAGCAAATTTATTGTTAATGCGATAGATAATATTATTTTTATTGATAATTAGAATTCATAATTGATATCAGAGACAATAACTGCATAAAAAAGATGAATGGAAAATTGCTTAAGCAGTAAGCTAGTCTTCATGTAAGTGCACTTCCGAGATATTTGAAAGTGCCATGTAGGGACATGACGTATGATAACAAATAATCATAAATAATCAAGTGATTTAATCCAATAATAAATTCATTGAACAATATAAATAGAAAATGAAGTAAAAGTTATCTATTTTAGTCATTTTCTCTGTAAAAACTAGAGAAAAATAAAAATACAAGTGGACAACTTTGTGTGATGAAAATAAAAATAAAATTATTCATAATAATTATTAAATAATATTTTATTTAGTTTTGTAACTATATCTTTAATAATACTATATATCTTTAAGTGAAATTTTTAGCTTTTAGTTTTTGTATCAATTAAAATTATAATTAGATGTAAATTAAATGTATATTTATATACTGACTATCTAAAGTTCAGTTTATCTGTAAACATTTCTGTTTCTTATTATATAATTTATAACTTTCATTATTTTAGCTATTTTTTTTTAATCGTTGTATATTACTGACATTGATACTAAAATATACTACTTATATCAAAAGCTCAAAATTTCACATTTATTACGTAAATATAAACTAATGATAATGATTAATGACATTTAAATATATTAGGTTGAAAATAAATAGAAATAATCTTTATTTTTAATGTTAATAAGAAAGACCCAAATTAATTGCTAAAAATATTAATTTTAATTATAATATGATGATACAATATTCCTAAAAGCGATTTATTTAAATCCAAGTACAGTCAAAACCGTTTTAATTAAAATGACGAATCGGGTATAACGATGAAATTTTCAGGCCTCGTCTCGATCCTATAAAAAATCTTCAAGTAGAAAACCATATATAGCAACATTGCATATAACAGCAATGTTTAAAAAATATTTTCAGAAAAATGTATCGCCTATAACGTCCGAAAAATACTTTTATTTTTTTTTTTTAACAATTATATTCTAATCAAAATACAGAATTGAGGCAGAGTTGTGAGTGTTGAAAATTTATTAACGTTTAAAAATTAGCTTAAATCACTTTTTGGTTGAAACACTGTAATTTTTAGTTTTGATGAAGGTATTTATGAGGCTCGTTAAAGTCCGGTCGTCCCTGTCATAAATCTTTTTTTCAAAGAAGTATCCCTCATTTTTTTTGACCTGCAACCTGGCGTAACTGCATCGGTGTATATAACCATAAGAATTTTTGTCATTTAACAAATTTTGAAGAGCTGAGTTGGAACCATACCAATTCTTACAATACATTGAAAACATGTATCAAAAAAATTTTTTAATTTTCTAGGAACGATTTTTCGATTAACTGACACATGGTGAAAAATTGGTAAATTCAAAAAAAATTCTTCAAGTTGTCCAATTTGGGATTAAATGCTTCATGAAGCAAATGTAAAGCATTCCATCGCAAATTTGGCTGGAAAAATTCGATTTCTCATCATATTAAAAAAATCAACCCTTCTATGTTTAATTTATTGCTTACTACTTTCGTTGTAATTGTTTTTTTGTCCAAATTTAAATACCGTAACAAATATTTCAAAAAACTATAATTTTATCGAAAAATCTTCAATTGAAAAACTTCGATTGCCCGTCGGCACGTGTTCTTTTTGTTTAAAATCAAAAAGCAAAATTTTTCCCGTAGTTTCTCTTCCTAAGGAAGGATTTTTTTAGGCGCCGCAAAAAATTTAATTTTTAACGACCACCCTAATGCATATGGAGCATTCTAAGCTAAATCGACTACTTGTAACCCCGATTCTTTTCAATTTTGCTGAAAATTTTTTATCGTTTCCTACCATATAAAAAACTTTTTTTATCATTTTTTCAATTTTTTTTAACCAACCAAAAACAAATGCTACTATCAGTATCTGAATCTATTATTTTTTCTCAAATTTATGCATTTTTCATTCAAAATAATGTAAATTCATTTTTGCAGATTGATCAAGTGATGCAAAATAAAAATGGCTTCTTTAACAACAGGCGTAAGTGAACCAACGATAATTTCACCGACGAAATTTGAACCCAAGTTTCGTTTCAATTTTGAGTTAAAACTGACAGAGGAACAAAAATGGGTTGACAAACATCCCTTCGACATGCCTCATAATGCTCCTGGAGTTGAATTCACAATCACAGCAGAATTTAATAAGGAAACTTCTAAACTAGATTTAAAAATATCAAAAAATATTACCGAAATCGCTATCGCTATTGTTGAGATAACCATACCCGGGATGGAATCTTTAATCAAAGATGTATCTAAATGGAAAAATAACATTTGTTTCGACGGTATTCCGATACCCTTTTACTTCGATATATGTTCTAAAGTTAATAATTTTTGTGACTTAAACGAATCAAGTGAGCATAAATATTGTGTACCAATCAGTTGCTCAGTAATATGGTACGGGTTTCTTTACGAATTCAGAGATTCAGATTCATACTATACGAAATTAAGAGAAAAATACAACAAAGATTCCAGTGACATCATAATTAAAGTCGAAGATACTAAATTTTGTTCTCACCGGTTTCTTTTAAGCAAAACGAGTCCGATATTCAAAGAATTACTTTTGAGCGATATTAATACAGAAGATAACTCTGTACACATTCAAGACGTTGACGCGGAAGTCATGAGAGAATTGTTATCTTTCTTGTATTATGGTAGGCTAAAAAATGCTGTTAAAGATCGAAATTTGACATTGAAAGTATTCAAGGCAGCATCACTCTATAAATTATCAAAACTAGTAAATGTTTGTGCGCTGTTATTGACTAATGATTTGACAAAAGACAATGTAATTATGGCGCTAGAAATGGGTATAAAATATCAGTCACAAATACTGCGACAACGATCCATTACTTTTATTACAAACAATCAAATTTAAAGATTTGATATTTATTATTTATTTATTTATTTAAATTAAATAGTTAGAAAATATATTTGTAATAAATCACGAACAAGAAGGTTTTCTTATTTTGAAGTTTAAGAATATTTTTAACGCTACTAAGAAAATACATCTCGTGACCATGACGAAAAATTTTGAAAAAATTCAAGTAACAGCTGTGAGTGAAAAATCATCTTTTATGAGCAACATATCAAGTAACGTAAGGAAAAACGCAGGTCAACATTGACATATTGTTAAGACCTAAGAAAATGGTATACGGCTTTAAGGGGTCTAAGGGTCTAAAAACTCTAAAGCAAGACAATACAAACCAGACGAATCACACTAATGGAACCCAAGATAAACGAGAAAAACTAACCAACAGTGAGCATTTTACTTCAGAGAAGAGTATTGAGTGGACTAGTCACAACGTAGTTTTTCTATTTCATCATAAAATGAAAATTATTTTTTAAAAATATTTCGATAGAACTTTAAAAAAATATTATTATTCCGAAAAAAGTTTCAAGAGTATTTTTTTCTCATAAACCAGAAGAAATCCTCATCAATTATTTAAATAAGGTAAGAAAAAATTTTTTAATTTTTCGATAATCTACAGTAATTAACAATCTGTTCTGAACAAATAAATTTCTATACTATATTTCAGCATTATATATTACCAAAATATTAATTAAATTGTTGGCATTTATCAAACTGTAGTATCTTAGCACATTTTCTGATTAGACACGTTTTTAGTTTCTAGTTTGCTGAGCTGAAATTAATTTTCATTTGAATTACAAAAAATTTGTAATTTGTTTCTGCAATTAATTTAATTTTTTCATCTCTAAAATATTGTTCGATTAAGTTAATAAAAAGCCTTACTTTTAAGCATACGAAGTATTTCACGCTAAATCGACCACTTTTAATACCGATCCCTTGCGATTTGGCTAAAAAAAAAATATAAATAAAAAAAATGGCTTTTTTTTTTAATCAGCTATAACTTTCTCAAAAATTTACTCATCAGAAAGTTTTGTTTTTATTTTTTATTTTGGAGTTTACTTCCGAAAAAAAATTTAGATATTAAAATCTATGACATTTTTATTTTATCAAAAAAATTAAAGAAAAAAACGTTCCAATAAGGCAATTTTTGAGAAAGTTATAGTTGATTGACAAAAAAGCCATTCTTTTGAAAAATTCACAGCTTTTTCGCGTAAGTTAAAAAAAATTAGAAAATTTTCTGAAAAATGTTTTCAATTAAATAGAAGAAAAAAAATATTTCAGCAAAAACAAAAGGGGTCAAGGTTAAAAGTGTTCGATTTGGCTTGGAATGATCTATACACATTGTAATATTTTTTTTTTTAATATTGTTCGCAGATAGTCTAACTCTCATAATCAGAATCTACAAAATGGAATTATCTACAGTGACGGAAGTAACAGAAGGAGCGTCTCCATTAACTAAGTTTTCCTTCAATTGTGAATTAGAGTTAACTAAACAAGACGGATGGGTAGATTCTGAAATTTTTCATACTGACAGCGTTCCTGGAGTAGACTTCAAAATTTCAGCATACATCAATTACCGTTCTACTCATATGAACGTAAAAATAACTAAAAGTGAACCCGGAGCTGCAACTGCCATTGCTGAAATGACAATCTTCGATATGCCGCTTATACTTCGTGACATCACGGGATGGACGGACACATATTATTTCAATGAGCTTCCACTAGCTATTCATTCGGATAAATGTCCAAAAAAAGATACACACTGTGATCCATCTAGCTTAGGTGAGCATAAGTATAGTGCTAAAATTAACTGCTCAATAACGTGGCTTGGATTTACCGACGACGATTATTACTCAAGCTCTGTATACAATGACGTTATAAAATTCTGTCGTAAGGAATCCAGTGATGTAATTTTAAAAGTCGATGAAATCGACTTTTTAGCACATAAAATACTTTTACGGACAGAAAGTGAAGTCTTTCAAAAAATATTAGATGCGGATCTTGAAGAGAAGTGTATCTGTTTATCTGATCTTGAAATCGATGTCATTCAAGAGTTATTAGCGTTTTTATATAATGGAAAACTCAAAGCATCTACTAATGAAGAATTAGCAGTGAGGCTTTTTAAAACCGCTTGTGTATATAAATTTTCAAAATTAAAAAATGTATGCGCACTAATTTTAAGTAATAAACTAACTCTTGATAATGCGTTAATGATGGTAAAGATAGGAACTCTTTACAGTTCATCATTGTTGAGAGAAAGAGCTATCACTTTTCTGAAGACTCATAAATTAGAAATATTAAAATCAAATGATATTTTAACTCAATTAACACTCGAATATAATGTTGTATATAAAAAAAAGTTTAATAAATTTTTATAATAGAAATGAAGACTTAAATTACTTTATGAACTAATAACATAATTAATCCGGAATTTCACATAAAAACAGAAACAAGCGTATAGTTTTAAGTAAATTTACTTCACTCCAAGATGTTTTCTCAGGTAAGTTTTATTTTCACAAACCGGTAAGTAATAAAAAATACAATTTCTTGATATTGAATTAAAATTTAAAAAGATTTAATGTCTAGCTTGAAATAATTGTACCTTGGAATAGTACATTCATCTTATCATTCTACTTGAAAAAACTTAAAAAGACGGTTCGTCACCTATCTGCTGTTGCGGAACTAATTACTGTATAAGGGGCATTGCAAGCCAAATCGACCATTTTTAATCCCGACCCCTTTCGATTTGGCTGAAAAATTTTTATCTTTTACTACTTTATGCAAAGTTATGAATTTTTGAAAAAAAAATATTTTTTTTTCCCATACAGCCATAACTTTTTCGAAGTTTTTGAAATACTTTTTTTTTCAAATTTTTATTTTTAAATGTAATTTTTGACAGCAAATTATTTAAACCTATCTTGATGTTTTTTAATTTGTCAAAAAAATCAAAAATTTCTCGGTGATTACCATTTTTGATTATTTTTCTTTTATTATATTAAATTTTGACATTTTCAGCGAACCTTCAAATTTTTTCAGTGGCATTTTTTCGACTCAATTTTTTTCAGTTGATTGGGTAAAAAAATTTGAAAAAATTCTAAAAAAAAATTTTTATAGGGTAAAAAAAAATAAAATTTTTTCAGTCAAATCAAAAGGGGTGAGTGTTAAAAATGGTCGATTTAGTTCGGCATGCTTCGTATAAACTTAGATTCACTAAAATTATAAAAACATAAAATAAAGTCAAGAATACTATAAGAATTATTCATTTCTCTTAAGTTGGTATTAATTCAATCAGGTAAGGATTGAATAAAATTTTCACATATAATAAAGAATTAAAAAGCTTAATTGTGTGTCAATAAAAATATTTTATTAATTTGAGATAATTAGGATTGCACCAATAATTTAGTAAGTAATTAAATTATTTTATGATACTATGAGTCTCGTGTCGGTCGTATTGAAGAATCTTGATGTTGCAATAATGGCGCTCTTTCTTGTCTTACTTCAGATAATGTGGACAGTTCTTGAGCTGGGCTCCGTTGCCATAAACTTCTTGTAGCCATTTCTTGGTAACCTCTTCTTCTTATCTACAAACAACAAATTTTACTTATATTTACTCTAATCTAATGTATACAAAAAAAAAAGAAGTAACCATTTACACGTTAAAAAAAACCCTGATAAATCCAGGTCACGTGAACATAAGGACCTTTACATTTACGTGACATGGTTTTAAGGCCCTTACATTCATGCAGTGTAGATTTATCAGGACTTTTTTACGTATGAATAGGCATGTTAAAAAAAAAAAACAGTTATAATATAAAATATTTTTGAACATAAATTAAACTCACTTGTTTATGATGAAGCTCATGCAGGTACAAAGTGGATAAGGACATATCAGCTGCAGTAAATTCGATAGGAACTGAAAAATCAGGTGTTAACTTTTGGCCGGATCCGAATACAGAAGCGCCAAGAGATTGATTAGATATTCCTTGCTGCAAACCATAAAGAAGACCTCGTTCGTTGTGCAGTGGACCTTCAGCTTTAGTCATGCCTCTTTTTACAAGACTTGACATGCAATCAGAACGATTGCCAGACATATCGGCATCGGCTGATGTTGTCGCTGCTGATTGATTTCCAAAAATATTGCTCATACTTGGAACGCTTACGTGATTAACTACTGTATTACAAATTATGTTGGCCACGATATCATTATACTGAAACAAATAATGTAAAATTATAATTAACATTTTTATATCGCGTGTCTAGAGGTAAAAGGGCGAATAGCTAAGGGTTAATAGGGATTTGTGCTAAAAAGGGGTATAAAAAAATTTTTTTTGCCATTCGGTTTAAAATTGTCTTACGTAAAAATCTGTGACAAAAAAAAAGTTGGTATCCTAAAGCTAAAAAGGCGTATCTCAAGAAATACGCCCTTTCAGCTTTAAGAAAAGTACTACTTAAAGGTAAAAGGGCGCATAAAAAAAATTGTAGTTGTGATACCAAATGTTAAATAATAGTTTCACAAGACAAGTTATACTAAAATAACAGCCTCATATACAAAGTTTGATATAAACAAATAAAAAATAAATTACGTAAAAATTAAGTAATTAATTTAAAGTAAAAATTACGTAATTAAATTTTTTTTCACAATTTTAAACTACGAATAAGGTAGAAGTACCGTTTGTGGCCATTGTACCGTTCATGGCCATTTATTGTTCAAATAAACTATAGATATGAATTTATATTAATAAACCATTACAAACTTAATTTGTTTTAATATAAATTTTGTAAAACTCAACAAAAATATGGTTATAATATATTAATTTTTATAAATTAATTCAAATGTTAACTGGCCAAAAACGGTGCTAAGGTGGCCAAAAACGGTACTTCTACCTATATTCTTTTGTAAACTGGCCGAAAAAAAAAAATTGTACGCTCTTTCACCTTTAGATCACCAAAATTTCGAATTTTTAAAAGTAAAAGGACATATAATTAAAGACACACGCCCTTTTACCTTTGCAATTTTTTTTTTTTTTTCAATTTTAAGCGTAGAATATGTCTACTACTCGATTGATAATAAAATAAAAACTATGCGCCCTTTTACCTTTGCAAAAGTAAAAGGGCGCATAAATTGTGATACGCCCTTTTACGTTTAGGCACGTAATATAATTTCTAGTAAAATTAAATTAATAATTTTGAAATAAAAATTAAAAAATAAAAACTTACTCCTGGTCCAAGACTGGAAAGACTATTCAGACTAGCCATCAGTGGATTAATATCACCCGGTACAATGTCAACATCTTTTTTAGCTCTTTCCCGTAAGGCTGTGACAAATGTTTCAGCATGACTCGGTGGTTTCCATTCGGGATTAGTTAATGTAAAGTGTATCAGTGATAACTCTGTTTTTCCATCCTCAGCTTGAGTATATTGATTAGAAATTGGAATATGAAGAGTATGGCGCTCTCCACCATAAATATTATTATAGCCATCGGTATGATCCTCCTCAGGAGTAACAGGGAGAGTTTGCCACATAGGATGTCCATGTTTTCTGACATCCATTTGAGCAAAACTACATACGTCGCCAACTCCAGTTACTTCGATTGTAAAATTCCGATAAAAATCAACAATATCAAGAGATCGTTGGCGCATGTAAAAACATAAGATGAATGGCGTAAGAAGTGGTGATAATAATTCTTCCAATACATGTACTGCTCTGTATTGAAATAGCTGGGCGACTTGTGCTCGCGTTGTTTGTGTATGAGCGTGACCTTTCCAACTATCTGGTCTATAATGCGTGTGCGCTAAAATAGCCGTAAGAAGTGTTTCTGGACACCATACGAGATTTTCATCTGGAATGAACGCACGAGCCCCAGCGACTATTACTCCGAGAATTGTCATAGTTATTAGCATGTGTTCGACTGTTAAAACATCTTCGTCATATACTGTGAGAATAAGTATAACTGCGAGAATACTTCCACAAATAAAGGCAACATTTTTAGCAATCACTGTCATTACAGGTGACGTGAATATACTCATGTATTTTGATGCTGGACGATAAGCACGATTTAAACGTGCATTTAGTTCGTGGTCTAGTTCATTGAAGTGTCGTAAATAAAGACGACCATACAGAGACCACATTCGTGTTCCCAATGTTCCTGGTTCTCTTTTAATTATCTTAAATAATAAATAATATAAGTATTTGCATGAAATATATTATAAGTTTATGACTCGAAAAGCATTTACAAAATGAAAGATTAACTCAATGCAAAAAAATACTAGTCTTTATACATTTTTTTGTTAAATAAAAGTACATTTTTCTAATTGAAAAGAAAAAAAAAAACATATTTAAATTACTATCAAAAATATTGAACAATATAATACGGAAAACAGTAAACTGTAATAAATAACAGTCGATTTATAACGAGTAATGATCAACTGCTAAAAATTACCATTTCAAACAGTAAAATCGCAATTTTACTAATTTGCGACTTTGATATTTATCATTTCGTACCTAAAAAATGATCGCATGATATGTAAAAAATATAAAATACAGTTACTAAATTTGAAATACAAGCAACGTCAATATTTACAAAGTAAAATGGTAAATTTTAAACGCAACGCTAAAAATCAAACAATAATTATTGACTTGCTTGGACTGGTAAAATATATATTTTAAGAGTAGAATTTTTATTGTTTCAAATGTTAAATTCTCCTAGATTGAAACCCCCTTCTCCTCATAGAATGTACTATGTATTGAAATGTCAATTTTTACTGATTGAAACTGTAATTTTTTAAGATGACAGAGTCGCTATTTATTATAGTGACAGCTACTTATCACTTATTTTCGATATTAAATTATAAATTGTGGCTTTTACACTTTCTACATTAAGTTCTGTAATATTTATATTTTTGCCACCCCGATGTCCGCTGTACTGTTTCAAGCTATAAAAATTAATCGGAATCCGAGTGAATTTTACAGTGTACTTTTTTCTCTGAATTTATTTAAACTGCAAATATTTTGTTGAAGAAAACTACTCTCTTAGTTTGGAGATATAAATTTTTTATCAAGTTTGAAATGATGAAAAAAACCAGTGTTACGATTTTAACGAAAATTTTATAATTTAATGAATAAGTCACAACTATTGGCTTAAAATTAGTTTTACTTGGTTAAATTTAATTCAATTGTAAAGTCGAAACTTGGTGGTAAAATATTATTCTCACAAATTAAGATTTTTTTTTCTCGAAAATTCTTTTAAGCAATAATTATTTTTAGTTTTTCTTTAACCAATTATTTCAAAATTTTTTAAATTTTTCACAAAAAATTATGTTTTTTTTTTTTTTACAAATTTAAAGAAAAATTGCATGCTTCTTTAACATGAAATACGTAAAGTATACATTACCTCAGCATAGTTAAAAAATGAGTATAAAATTTGCCATAGTAATATAAGAGGACATAATATAAAATTAGCAACTCCAACCCACAAAATTTGTTTAGATAACATTCTTGCAAGTTCTTGTCTCTTATTTAATTTTTTATAATCTTCTTTGAGATGCCAATTGTTCTCAAATGGTGACCATGGTCCCCCTGTGTAAATTAAATCATGGTTAATAAAGATAAGATAAATTAATTAACTAACGCAGTATTTAATGTATTAACTTACAGAACAATAACAACTCCATGTTATACTTTAATCCTCGTGTCATAAAAATAAATTCACCAATAAATGGAGCTTTTAGTCTAACGGGTAGAAGTGATTTATTAATCATAGCTACCATATAATTTTTAAATCTCAATATTCTATGATAAATATCTAATTCAGTCAATTCTCGTTTATGGATACACATTTCTTGATCTTTCTGTACCTCCCTAATACGTTTTTGAACTTCATGCCACGTTAAATTATCGAGATCATTATCAGCAATTTTTAATGCTAAGTTGAAAAACATTTTAATGTCCCAAAATTGTGCTATATGATATAAAACTTTAACAGCACGTAATACCCAAAAAATAACAGCTATTGAAATACATATCCACGTCACCAATCCCATTGACGCTAAAATTTCTTTAGATGATAATATTGCATCACTTATTGATGTCTTGTGCGAAGGATTAACTATTACTTTATCCCTAGAAATATAAAAAAATTCAATAAGTAAATTATTATTTTCTTATTATAATAAATTAAGAAGTTTTATCAACGGTTAATACATACTTAAAGAGTACTGAATAATCTATACAATGGAACAGGAAAGTTGAAAATCCAACAACGAAAATAAATTGACTAAGTTCTAAAAATTCTTGTAACACCATACAAACAAAACCATGTTTTTGGTGATAATGATACATTCTAGTAAAAAATGAATCTAAATCTTCTATATGATTCCATCGTGATTTTCCACCTTCTGGAACTACATGAATGATAACACCAGATCCATGTGGAGTTTCGTCTGGATCATCACCTTCGCCATCTCCATTTTCAGCAGAGTAAGGATCAAGTTGTTGGTAGCTGCCATCAAGTACCGTGGTCATCTGAAAAATATTTTTATTAGTAATGATATTATTGCTGATTAGGTATTTAAATTAAAGTGTGTTTGATGATTTCATGCTACATAGAATAGTAAAGTACATAAGCATTCGGGTAATTACGCAGATATAGGATTCAAATTATTTTGGCAGAATAATTACATGAAAGATTTAAAAGGTTGATTTTTTGTTTGATAATTGATAAAAAATCTTAATCTTCCAAACCTTGCATGAATTCAGTAAAATGAAAATATAGTGAGGCCGAATTTATAAATTCTTTCTTTTGAAACATATTTTTCTGCATGATTACCATTTTTAATGTAAGAAAAATATTTTTTTAATTAAATAGATGATACAAAATAAGATAGTTAATCTAATTGTATCAACATGCAAATAGTTCAAAGTTAGTTTGAATAATGTAGCGGAAAAAAAATATCTTTAATCATTTAATCTTTATTATCAATATTTAGTATTTGGTAAAATATTGATATTATTTTTCAATATGATTAAGTAAAAACTGAAAAAAAACTACTTCAAATGATTAAATTGTCTTTCTGTTTGTTACACTAATGAATATTTGAGAATGATTTATTAATTCAAAAGATCAATTTTCTGATAACTATCAAAAGTATTCTAGTGTTATTTATGATATAATTTTTTTTTCAGTTTGATTACATATATAATTTATCAATCTAAAGTCGGAAAGAGAAATATTGACTTTACTTTGATTGAGTTATTTTTAACGAAATATACAATTAATTGGAAATATAGTAAAGAAATTTTTTTTTAAGTGAACGATTATAAAATTCTAATGATTTATATCGAGGGCTGTGAGTATGACGAAATTTCACCCTTAGTGACGATAAATGTGACAGAATATTCATGACAAAATACCAAAATGCCCAGAGTAAAGAATTATTCAAAATTTTGGTAGAAATCAATTATTATGATGAAAAAAACAGTAATAATGATAATTAATAGTGATGAGCTTGTAATTATTTTTATTGCATGTAAAATGCATCGCAGTTAGTGTTTAAAAATTATTATTTGTCCCTGATTATAGTTAAAATGATTGATGATTGTTGTAACTATGAAAATGATTGCGATGATGCGATAATGCATGCTAGCAGACATACGTTCATACATACACGAGCTAATTCTGATTTATTAAGATATTTTTTAAGAAAAATTTTGTAATTTAACGAAAACGGCTCTGTTATGTAAAAAATATTAATTTAGGGTAATTAATTAATTTTACATTTAAAATATTTAATGTGTTTAAGTATTTGGTCCTAGCGTGTTAGGCTAATAGACCGGGAACTTCCGAGTTTTAGTTTATTGAGAATGATAGGTTTGTTTGAATAAATTGATGTAGTTGAATAATTTTAATACATATATTGTTTGAATCCAAAATTAATATCATAAGTTAAATTACAATAATTACAATTATTACACAGTGATTGAAGTTAACTTTTCTTTCATATAACGATTTTACAATATTACCAAATTCACAAATATTAATAATTTAAAATATACCTGATAAAAAATTTGATGAACCTTGTTTATTTAATTTATTTTAGTTCGTTTCACTTTACGATTTTACTTTACCTTTACAAATGTTTTACTTTTTATACAATAGATTTACACGTGGTCTATTGAGACTTATTTAAACTATGTACGATGTTAACACTAGGACGTCAGGACAACGAGAGAGATTTTTTGGTGACAATTGCAACGTGTCGAATTTTAGGGCGTTACTAATTTCTACTCATTGGGGGAAACAAATGTCCAACTATTTGTCTATTTTCTCGGGCCCTTACCCTCTCTCTTAAATTTGTCTAAAAATGTTGCATGAGTCCCTCTACTTGGGTCTGAGTGCAACATACTTTCTCACACTCTTATGTTCTATTATTCATCTATGTGTTTGTGTATGCGTAAGCGCATTTACACATAGACAAAGACATACATTTGTACTGTCTACATTAATTTATTTATTAAAATCGTATGAATAAATATGTACTTGAATCTAGCATCTCTTACGTTTTCTTGAATTTAAATTATTTATTTGTAGAAATATTTCTGTTTTGTCGTTTTATAAATTTGTTGTATTATTTTAGAATTTAATTGTTTAATATTTGTTTATTTTTAATTATTTAACTTTCAAGTTCTATTTTTTTTATTTGTTTTTCATTTCATATTTAATTTTGTTGTCTAAAAATTATTTCAGAAAGTTCATTATTAAAATTTATTTCGATATTTTTCTCAACACTAAAATTCTGTCATTAAGTTATTCTAAAATCTTTCGGTTTAAAATAAATCTTTTATCTTATGTTCTTTATCATTACTTAAGTATTTCTTATTTTAAGTATAAGTGAGTTTGCTTACGGATAACAAAACTTCCATTTATCTATTTAATTTCTTTAATATACCTGGACTCCAGACTAATTACCGAAATTTCCCTGGGCCTTTTGCAAAGATCGAACGAGACACTTAATGACCACACTCGAATTATCTTTTACAATCGTTAAAATTTAAATAAAATTATACTCGATTTTTTATAATTAATAAATATGTAAAGAAAAATTTCATAACAGCTCAAATATGTATATATTTTTTTCTTAAATTTCATTCACAGAAAGATCGCGTTTTTTTGTAGAAAAAAAAAAGGTGATAATCCTGTAGTTTTTGACAAAAGCGGATTACCTCGTTTCAAAATCCGGAAACTGATGATAATCCTATTTTGTAAAATTTAACCCTCAAAAGAAATTTCCAAGAATAAATCAAATAATTTTTAGAATAAATTGCATGAGAGACTATGTACTAAAAATAAAATCAAGTCTAAATATTCCGAAAGAAATCAAGTTTAAAAATTATAAATTTACTGGATTTTTAAATCAAGCAATGAATTGTTAAAAATAAAAATTTTCGTTTTTATTTTGCTGCTACAAATTAAATTATTTAAACAAGCGCTGTTGCAATGAGAAAAAAGTCATGCATTAAAATAATATTATAAAAAATATTTTCAGTGAGTTTGTGATTATTATACTTAAAAATAAAAAGTATTGACTTTGTTTTTAAAAATAAATTCGTAGCTTATTTTTGGTAGAAAAAAAAAAATGAAAAGTTTATAACGTCATAATTCGTGGTGCTCAAATTTACATTTTTTAGAATTTTCGAATATACTGCATGATAGTGTACATATTCATTTGGCGCACTAGATTCGAATCAAACTTTAGCTAGTAAAAAGGGTGCAATCAAATCCATTTTTCAATTTACTTTTGTTAATAATGGATCCAAAGATCAATTATCGTATGGAGTATGAATAATCCAAAAATTACATACTGTGGTTTATATTTTATCAAATAATAGATCTCGATATATTTACGTTTTAGTATAGAATGTACACAAAAGAGATTCTATATTGATTTTGTTAAAACTACTCAATATTATTAGAGTTAACGAAAACTGAACATCAATACTGCGGCTTTGTTTCAATAATAAATGTGCATTGGAAGATCTAAAAGAGTAAAACAGAAGTTTTATTACAGACGTAATAAATGTTAAATAGAAAAAAAGGTATTCTGTGTCAATAAACTACAAATAAAAGTGAGACTAACTTCAATAATTCATTATCCAGGATATTCTTTTATTTTATCTTTTTGCATAAAAACGTAGATATATATGAGTCGAAGCTTACTAAAAAACTGTTGAAACACTGAGCAACGTAATCTTTTTTCTTCATAAAATACAATCCAGATTAATTACGTCCACAAGCTGCTATCTAATTACGACTCATAGTTTATATCTATACTTCAAGTTTCTATTAAAGTTTTTCGATTCTGCACATTAGAAAAATCTATTCAATTACAAGTAATATTTATTATTTTAACTCCCATAAATTTACTGAGTAAACAAAATACTAAAAGTTTACATTATTTACAAAGATTATTTCTTTTAATGATTATTGATTACATTTCTTTAACAGTCTCATTTTTAAAAAAAACTTTTAATTATTTTGATTTTTTATACAAAAAAAAAAAAATTCTTTTCAAATAAAAAAGTTCACATTTTTCAAAAAAATTCCTTAAAAATTTTGTCTTAAAATATAAAATATAGTGAAAAATTTATCAAAAAAAAATTTATTCATTAAAACTGTAATTTTAATTTATTTTGTTTAAAAATCCATATTAAAACTTTAAATTTCATATATTTCTATTCAAAGTGCCGCGCTAACGTGCAAAGCTAATTTTTTAAGTGCTTTCTCAAAGACAGTCTGTTAAATTAACAACATAGTTTCTAATAAGTTTAAAAAAATAAATTACTCTAGGTTTATATCTATAGAATATCTATCAAAAGTTTAAAATAATTCATAATTAAAAATATTGCTTAAATTAAATCCAGCTAAAGCTTGAGTACTACCAACTTTATCAAAAGCCAGTAGCTAATTCAAAACCAATACTTGTTATATCTAAAAATAAATCGATAGTATGATTTAACAAAACAAAACAAGTGACTAATAATATTTAAAATATAAACATGATAAAAGTAACTAAACTTTTTTTTTTTTTTTTTAAAAAGGAGCCTTACCGTTCTTACTCTGTGATTTGGCTCCACGCAGGTTATAATAGTGTCACGTTTCATTCTTTCATTTCATCATTCAATTAAAATACCTACCAGTCAACACTTGCACTCCAAACAAATAAAATACAGGTCATTTGTGAGGTCGAGATGACAACGCGAACGATGTTGAATGAGCTGAGAAATGATTAAATATCCTAATGTAAAGTAGAGTAATTTTACTGATAATTGATAACAATTCAAAAAAAAATAAATTCAAAGCAGTTATCAAATTAAACGAAAATAAAATTTAAAAAAATAAATAAAATAAACACTTGATATTACACGTGACACTTGCCTGTATATAAAAGAAATATTCTATTCTTGCATTCTACCTTGACTTAAATGTGTATACATACATGACACATGTATGTATACACATACATGCATTAGGATGTATTTATATTAACTTTGTTGTGAATCAGGATTTGAATTAAATTCTTTTTTTTTTATTTTTCATGAGTAAAAAATCAGCAGAGCTAATTTAAAAACATTTTTAATTTAATTAATGTAAAAAATCTAAAGAAAATTACACAAGAGATTTTAGAAAATTTCCAAGTATATTTTTTCATGACACTGAAGTTAGCAGACGTCTAAAAATTTTTGATTTTTTTTTTTAAATTAAATTACAACTAAAAAAATAATTCTAAAAAATTGCACTTGTAGTTTTTCAAGTTTTTTACATGTGCATTTTTTTTTTAATTATTTAATTGAAATTTCTTCAATAAAAAATTTTAAAAAATCTTGAAATGTCAGCTAACTTCATTTTCATTATTTTTTCATATAATAATTTTTTTAATAAATAAATTATTTATAAATTTATAAATAATTGTCAGACAACTGGAACAATACTCATAAATTTTTGAGTAATAAACCAATTTTTTCACGAATTAAAAATATATTATAAGTTTTGTTAATGTTAGTTTCATATATGTTTAAAATAACAAATGGAGTATTTTATCAATGTTATGATTATTATTATTGTCATTATGATTGTAACAAAGAAAATAGAAGGAAAGATAAAGATTGTATGAAATGATGACTCTAATGTTTGGCAATACAGCTGATCTTGATAAACAAAGCAAATAGACTTACCTTCGTCGTTGATTTTCTTTCTTTCCTACAAACGACACGTACTTATTTAAATTTACAAATTTTTCGCGTGCTATTATTCACATATTGGCAATCATTCGATGAGAGTTTAACCACTATAAATTTAAACATTTGTATATTTTCAGTATTACGTCTGTTTTCTGTGACACACCATTTTGTTATTTTTTTCTTTGTGATTGTGATGCTGACTTTGCTAACCTAATGTTATATGCTAAACAATTAATTTTTACGATTATTTTTACCTAGTCTGAGACAGCAACAAGATTTGCTGCCATCTGGGATTGTACAATGAAAAACAATCGACTAATGAAATTGTCTGTTGGCGCTATCTGAAGTGTATTTGAGAAGCTGTGATAAAAGTCATAGCGCGAAACTCAAAAGATATTTACCTTGGCTCTCCAGATACGGCAGTTATAATTTATTCACATAAGTTTCATGGTTTATAATTAATTGTTTTTTTAATTTCTCAACTTTTGATTCATTATTGTAGCGGATTGTTTGGACTAATTTTGCAAAAAATTTTTTAGGTGACTGAGAATAATAGTTAGATACAGAAAATAATTTATAAAAAAGATAAAATGATTACCTATAGAGTGAAAAAAAAAGAAGATAAAAATAAATAATTTTTTTATAAGCATTAAAGCTCCAATTAATATTATAAAAAAATTGTCCCCCATGAAAAAAAAATATAAATAATATATATTTCGAAATATATAAAAAATCTATAAAAATATATAAATATATAAAAAATATATGTAATAGAAATATTTTTAATAACTAACTTTTGGCCGATTTTCATATATATTTTATATATTTTAAATATATTTTAGATGTATTCAAGATATATTTTAAAATACATAAAAAATACTTAGATAAAAATATAAAAAAAAATATATTTTAAATATATTTTCTATATATTTCGAAATACATACACTGATACCACCAACAAAATATTTGTTAACTATTAACAAATCTTATTTGGTGGAAATAAATACTTTTTTCAATACACTAAAGCTTCTTAATAGTTACAAAAATTTTTGTTCTCATAAAAAATTGATTTAGTTAATACTAACGAATATTGTTCATAGTAAAAAAATATTTTTTCCACCCAAAAAAATATCTGAAAAAGATTTTAATAAATTGATTTATTAAATACTAAGAGAAATATTTTTTAAATACTATGAAAAGATGTTCAAGAAATCGATGGTCTAATTAGCAATTTGTTTAACTCCATATTTTTTAGAGGGTGATTTTTTAACATTTTAATGTAGCCATAATCGAATTATAAATTATTTGAATGATTCAAACCTGAATATTATATCTCTATTAGATAATAATTATATAAAATGGTTTTTTAAAGTGATAATAAATTTTTAACTAATTGTTTCTTTCGTACAAATAGAATATTCTCTAAAATGGAGTTAGACAATTTGCTAATTAGAACGTCGAAATGATTTCTTAAAAATCTTCTTAAATACTAAGAAATCCTTCAATCAGTGTATACAGATCTTAACACCCCAAAAAAAGCTACAATAAGATGTAAATTTAATAAATAATCTTGATTAAACAAGAGGATAAAGAAATTTTTCAAAAAATTCGATTTTTACTTTTTCAAATTTTTTTACCCTAATAGCTACGCTTTTTGTAAATGTAGTTGGATTTCAGCAGTTACAGTTAACTTAACATCAAGTTTACAGTACAACAGTTGTAAACAAATTGACGAAAATCTACGGTCACAATTTGAATACAAGTTAACACCAAACTTTTGGTTAAATTTCCTTTCAGCTTTACTACAACTTAACTAAAATACTTACACTGCAAGTCTCGACGTCAAATTGCAGAGTAACTTATAGACAACTTCACTAAAACCGTTTGCTTTGCAAACTCTTTCCATTAAGTTGGCTACAAATTTCAACAGTAGATTGAATAAAAGTTTGAGTTAAGGTGGTTATCAGGGTAATTGTTACCCTAATGGACGTTCGACATATCAACAGAGAACTTTTCAACCATACACAAAAGACGGTAGGGTAAAAGACCCCATTAGTGGCGGGGACCCCATTACTGACACTTTCTTTGATTTTCGTACTTATTCAATTAATGAAATCATTAATTTCAATAATAAATATATTATTTCTAATCTTTAAGATCTTTAGATCAAAAAAATTTTTAATTTTTATTCCAGGTAGAACATTTTTTCATTAATAGAAAAAGTGCCATTAATAGGGTCTTTTACCTTATAATCGAATGTGCAAAAAATTACTCTCCAGTTGAGATTCGCTAATGAGATTTACTCATATTTAACGATTGACTGCTGTTATTACAAGACAGATTTCAAGCAGCCTATGACTTTCTTTAGATGTAATAATTATAATTATCTATTGCCAAGTAGCTTTGATAACTCTCAAGACCAGCGGGGATTTTTCAAATTCTTATTAAACTTCCGACTGTTTTGCAAAGAGGCTACCGGCTGTCTTTTAGAAATCTGTTTGGGTTTTTTTTTCTATTAACTTTGTACTCATAAAGAGAGATATAGTTAAAAATAAACAATGAACATGTATTATAAAGAAGAATATAAATTTTCTTATTGGGGTACATTTTTTATGAAATAGAAAATTTTCACAAAAATGTTTTTTTGAAATATCTCTTAAACTAATTTAACGATCGATTTCAAAATCTTATTAATCCATAACCGTAAAAAACAACGTTGATTGCCGCAAACCACATCAAAAATATATAATTTGATCAAAAGATATTGCTGGTGGAAAAATTTTTAAAAGTAGTTTTTTTTATATAACTGCAACATTTTGCGTCACATTGTTTTTGAAGTAAGATTTTTTTTTGTATTTAAATAACTGCATTGATGACCATGAATGACATGATAATCAATTGAGTTGTACGGATAATGTTACAATTAAAAATTTTTAAAAAGATATGTTTTTCGAACACTTTTCTTCAAGCTCAAAAATATACATGAAAAATATATCAAAACTTTATGGTAGAATATTTTTGAGCGTTTTGGATACGAATACAACGGGAAGTTTCTGAGATGGTCTGGTAAGGTCAATCGTTATTCAGATTTATTGTTTATCAGTACAAATTTGGAATATATATTTATTTTGAAAGATATAATTTGTCAAAGATAAACTGAGGTATAATAAGTTATTTGAGTTTCAATTATATAACTTAAGATATTACACTTCATTTCACTCATATGCAGCACATAAATCTTATTCATAACTCATAATTGTATGTATATCAAATATAAATAAGATTTGTTTTTATAATTTATTGGACTTATTTTAATGTGTAAATGTTTAATCTACGTGATAAATAATAATAACAATAATTTAAAATATAAAAATGTTAAAAAAAGTTTCAATGTCAGAAATCCAATATTTATTGGATGGAAAATTTATATCGGTATAAAGCTTAAAATTTAAAAAATGCATCATTTATTCTTTACTGTATTTTATAATTCAGGGATTATCACAATAAATAAACTCTAATCAATCGTTCAAGGTTTCGAAGTCAATTTTTTGACTTTAATTTTATTTTTTATGTTTAATCACGAAATCACAATCGATAGATTAAATTTAATTAAAAATTAAAATATTGCTCAATTTCTACAACATTCATAAAATGCTATAGCAGTATAAAATCTACCAATACAATTAAAACAATTTTCTTCGGGTGAATGATATACGGATTTTTATCTATATATAATTAAGACAGTGAAGAAAATTGTGTCTCTGGCGTATGAATGTGATAAGATGGGTTTTCTTTAGTTAAATTTAGTATCATTGGGTGTTATCTGTAGATGTGTATCATTTTGTTCATTTTTTGGTCATGATCAATTTTTTATTTTAAGTTATTAAAAAAGTTTTGAATAGTTTGTTGGTATTTATTTTTAA